TCTGCTTTTCAATCACTAACATAACCCAATCCAAAAATAATTATGCTTAGTGATTTACCACCAATTGAAAATAGTTTTTCCTCCATTTGCTTAAATTAAAGAAATTGCAATCAATTTAAACCTCACATGTTATTTGTGGATTTACTATCACGTTGCAGTAGTTGGTGAATGACTATATTTAAGCTTAATATACTGCATATAACATGTTTTTTGAAATGCCTAAGAACTAGGAAACGTCCTGAGTGGTAATTTTTTTTAATTTTGTGAATGATTGTGATTTTATTTGTGCTCTTTTAAATTTATGATTCTTTCATAATTACAGGCTTACCTCCTCAATACCGAGAGCCAATCTAGGATTATACAACCACTCCACCTTGATGTTTTGAAGTGAGAGTTTTGGCCTTATCTACAGAGTATTTCTGAATATCGACAACCAATCTAAGGCTTATTTTACAAATATTTTTTCATATATATAAACAGGGGTGGAGTCAAAAATTTTGTCCAGAGTGGACATCCTAACTAGAATCTTTAATTTTATTCGTGCAATAGGTAAAAGTAAATTATTATTTTTTATTTATTGTAATCATTTACAATTGACCCGAATAAGTTTTCAAATTGTTATAGCGTTAGTTGATAATTTCACTATCAATACTATAAAAAAAAATATTTTTTCATACAAATAACTAATCAAGCAATCAGTGATCCATTATTAGTCACTCATTTGATTATGCAACGAAGTCTGCATAATTTTATGACTTAAAATTTGTAAAAATGAGCCCATGTCAACAACTTATCTAAATATTTTCAAAACGTGTTCAAAGTATGTGTGAAAATTTCCAGTCATTTACTAGTAGGTTGATGAGACCATCAAATGGTAAGTTGCGTAGATGTAGATATACTTAAAAATTAATTGAGATATATTATATGTTTTAAAAAAAATTCAAGGTGGGCTCGTGTCCCTTGTTCCTTTCCTGGCTTCGCCAATGTGTGTGTGTGTATACGTTGGTCTTAATAAGTTCATCCGTCGATCTCAAATAGACTCATTCAACAGTCACCAACATACTTCTTAAAATTATTTACATTGTACTGTACTTTCAAACATAGATTACCCCTACTTTATATATATATATATGATCACTTATTACCACCACCATATTACACGCACACTCGATGATATCATGTATTAATAATAACGGGATATCCCAATTTCATTAAATATTTACTACTAATTTTGTCCATGGTTAAGAAAGTTGACATTAAGCCCGCGTGGTAGCCGACTTATTCTATAAACAACATTTCCTACAAAACATTGTACACGTATCCCTGCAGCCGGCTTGTTCCTTATGATGGATTAGGTGGTGACCACTTGCCAAGTTGCTATAAGAAGAGAGACAATGTAGAGTGCCTCTTAATTCATACGAAAGGCAAAATCATGCCTTTAATAGGATAGTTTTAATGGAGTTAGTCTAGTATAAGTATAAACGAGTTCTAAACTCAAACGTCTTGGAATTAATCGATGTATACATAAGCTAACTCAGACACTCTTGATCACATACCCAAAAATAAAAAGATAATTTTAACACATGGTCTCTATAAAATGAACTTTGAGGGTCTAATTATGATATCTAAAAAGTTAATTTTTTCTACTACACATTAACTTTTAGTTCACTCTAAACTTGTCATGTCATGTGATAAGTGTAAGTGATGTAAATTGTATTGCGTTGAAATTGACTCAATTTATCGGCTTAGTTGGTAAGCTAGTTTGACTCATTACTTAGATTACAATCCAAGACAATTAAGACTAAAATCATATTCAATAGCTTCAATTTCAATTACCTTTAAGGTTCCTAAAATTTAAAAACCTCAATTTTGGGTATTTTTCAAGTCCATGTGATCCATCAACCAACAAGACGGTGACGCTTTTAAGTTTTTCCCCACCCAACAAAGTGCAACACTAGTTGAGGATTACGGTTTGAGTAATGCCATTGAGAATTAATTTATAGACCTAATTTACTATAATTTTTGGATTCACTGTAAATCACATTAAACATTAGAATTTGGTATTGATCCAATGATTCCTACGAAATTACATCATTATGTCAGCAAATTAGATCAAATTTTTAGGTCAAAATAGTATTACTCTTACAATTTTATGTTGATTTATTTGTGACCATTGATATTTAAAATTTTTTATATGTGTCATATTTTAATTATTAAAAAAAAATATGATACTAAAAAATAATTTTTTTGAATCTAATTAGACCCATGAACAGGAAAATATTTATTTATAATCTATGGATAATTCTTAAACTGAAGACCACACGAAAAGTGCCCTTATCTGAAGGGACGCCTAAAAGAAGCAAATCAACAAACCCAACCAAACCCCTAGAAATTAGTAGCAACAGACAAACTAACATACCATTAATTTCTCACTCGTAAATCTTAAAAAAAAAAATCTAGTGTAATCACCCGCAAATCAACGACTAACTTGATGCGATAAATGAATTGTAGACCGTCGGATCATGAACCCCTGAAAACTATGTCCCAACTAAACAGATAATATCGCAACAATATTTCAATTGATGAATGATGTTGACATTGATTGAGATTTATTAGACAATTCGAGGAATTCTTTGAAATTTCAGCAATCATACGAAGCCCCTTCGCCAAGTGCTAATGGAATGACTATTTAACCCTTAGTTGACTAAGTTAAAAACTGGAGAATGATAGAAAAACAATGAGAATGAAATTGGAATTTTAAACTTGATTTTTTGATCCATTTTAGCAATTGGAAGAGGGTGTATCCGTTACAACGCATAAACCTCGGGGGGTTTTGTGTTATTTATGAAATAGTAGGGAGTTTTTGGATTATTTTTTTTTTCTATAATTCAGGTGATATTACTTAATACACTTCTATCCTATTTCAACCTACCATTTATTTCCATTAATGGGTTTGTGATAAAAGATGCAACAAAGAGCAAACCATTTAGAGAGGGTAGGCTACAAAGTCTATAAATCAGGTGAGAAAGTGAGTGGGAAACCAATCGGATTTTAGATTTACTCTAATATTTATTATTTTTATATATTTTTTTTCTCGAGAAATAATCTATTACATTTGAATGCAAACCACTTATTTTTAGTTATAACCCGTGCCTGAAGGCACGATAAAACAAAAAATTCAAGTCCTAAAAAATTGATATCACTACATTAAATAATATTTTTTTCTTCTTTCATTTGTTTGATTAAATCATTCAAAATTTATTTTTACCTATTATTTTCTTAAAGATATTGACAAAATTTTCTCAAAATATGTAATTTGATAAATTTTTTTTAATAGATCTATACTATTGTGTATGAATAATATTTGAAATAAAAATTATATTAAATTACAAATTAATCAAATGAACATTTAGTTTTATTAAAACAACATCCAAATTTATTCAATTAACATTAAATTCAATCCAATTAATGCTAAATTAATATTTAATTTTATCAAAATTAAGATCAAATTTATTCAATTAATATTAAATTTTATCAAATAATTTTAAATTTTATATATGAAGTACAGTGTGTGAGGAGCGGTCAGACGACGTTGTGGAGGACATATGATAGTAAATGAATTAAAAATGGATGAGATTTTGACATTGACTTTATCAATTATAATTTTTATTATAGAAAAATCATTTTTAACTATAAAAATTATTATGATAAAAAATATAAAAATTGATTATACAACCAAATGAGTGATAATATGATGACTAATATTATAACAAAGTTATAATACGACGTTTTAAAATAAAAAATTTATTAGGATAATATAATGATAGAAATTACGTTTATTGGCTGACTAGCGCATATATAATAGGGAAAAAGTTGATGACATTTTAGTCAATTTACATAATAAAGAGTAATTTTAGTATTTAATAAAATATTTAGTTAAATCATTATTTTATCTACTGATAGAGACAAAAGTTATTGCTATTGAGATTTTCATTGAATTTAAACTCAACTACACGATGTTTAAATGAAAACTTTTTCTAAAATATAACATGTAGATATAGTATGTTTTCGATTTTTGTACTATATATATGTACAATAAAAATGTGTGTGTGATATAAATAGTAAAGATAGAGAACAACTTCATTAGAATAGAATTTTGGGGAGACATACGTCACATAGTTTGGAAAGAGAATCATGAAAGATAATAGTGTGAGGGACAGTCAGTGTCTCAGTATAGAAAGTGATCCTTTAACGTAGGAAATAAAATCATGGAAATAATGATAAAAGTTATAACTTGTATTTTAGGGAGAGAGAGACAAAGTTGAGGAATGAGATATCGTTTAATTGCCGGATTTGATTGGGTGGAAGAATTAAATTTAGGGATGCTAGTTTTGGAAACTAAAAGTTTTGAGCGGCAAAAAATTTTCAAGAGCTAATATGGTACGTCGGATCGAAACGATCTGAGACGTCAATAACTTGAGACAGTTTAAAATGCTGTCGGCCGTTAGATGATGCCTTTTTTAATCTTAAAACCATCTGAGTCACTCTTTGTCTCTTGAATTCAAAATTGTTCTACTTTATTATATAAATTTGTATAATTTTTTTTCTCGAAAAATAATCCATTACATTTGAATGCAAACCACTTATATTTAACGGATCACATTTAAATTTACAACATGCGATCTATCAAATATATATATATATATATTGAAGAGAACCTCAATCGAATGAATCGCCATGTGGTCCATGTATTGGCATGTATATAGTCTGTTACACTAGGAAACAAAGGAGGGATTTTTTTTTTTTTGGGATTGAAACAAACAAATTTATGGGATTGAAACAAACAAGGGATTTGAGTAGGAATAGATGACTCTCTCTCTCTCTCTCCTCTCTCTCATGAATTAAACTCAGCCACCTTTAATGTTCCAACTCTATAAATAGTCCAGTCCTGGTTATATTTTATACTAGAAAAACAATATTCAATCAGAGAGAGAGAGAGAATGGCAAAAGGTTGTCATCATTTACTAAGGGGTAAGAGGAGAGAGACAAAATACACTCATGGATTCTCTTCATCGGAGATGGAGTCATTAACTAGAGTCTGTGAGGCTCTTTTGCCTCCTCTACCATTGAATTCTCTGGAAGGCACTGCAAAGGATGGCCAATCCAACAAGGCCATCGAGTACTTCCAAATGGCTTCTGGTTCCCAATATCCAGTTCCTGATGAGGTGACAAAATCTTCAATTCTCTCTCTCTCTCACACACACACACAAACACACACCCTCTCTCTATCTCTCTCTCTCTCTACAAAGCACAATTGTAAAAGTGTTTTTGGGATGAGAACAGGTTGCTGAAACAGTAGTGAAGAGGGGTTTTTTTGAAGCAGTGATGTTGGTGAAAGGGCTGTTACGGGTGCTTTCCAGCAGGCTTGGTACACTATTGCTTTGTGGGTTTCTTTGTTTTGGTGATAAATGGCCATATATTTACAAGTTCTCAGAGATTTCATTGGAGAAGAGAGAGAAGATTCTCCAGTACTGGTTCAGAAATAGGTTTCTAACACCTGTCAGACTCGGATTCTTATTCATTAAAATCTTGTGCCTCTATGTCTTCTTCTCACAGGTACATATTAACCCCCTTTCTCTGACCTAATTCTTCCCTGTTTTTATAATTATCTATTTATATACCCCTAGTTTTAAATCTATTTCATAAACTGTCATCTTATGTACTATACCAATGTAGTTGCTATGAGAATTTATAATTTGTAGTTTTTACTTTTCTTTAAACAACCTGATTTTT